TTTTTATTAATGAAAAGCTTGAGTTATAAATAATAAAATAATTAATTGAGTTTTATTTTATAAAAATTACTATAGTAGTAAATCCTTTTTTCTCCTTTGCACTCTCTCGTATTTTAATTATATTAGTCATTTGTCTTGATATTAGAGTACGTCATATGACTCTTGACAGTAAAACTTACAACCATATCCGATTAATTTCTCAAATAGAGTAAGTTTATCTTTTATCTTTTTCTAGTCTTTTTGGTGTATCTATTACATGTGGGATTTATAGAGTTGCATGTGTTATTTAAGGGTTTTAAATGATTGTCTGTTCCTTAAGATTGTTAAGGTATGATGAAATCTTGATATCAACTTTCGATGTAGAGATCCTACTTCTTGTCTGAATAAGAATACTTATGGGCAATGAAAGTTTTGGTGTTTTTAGCTTATATTCTAGGTGAGAGAAACTAGTATTTAAATATATTATTATCATTTTGATGTGAATGATTGTGCTTTTTTTATAGGTGGGGAGTGAAGCTTATAACATAGGTAGTTACTTTTGTTCTTCACGTGAAAATTTTTATTCACCTAATCTGTAGTTCTTGTTCTATCCTTATATATGTAATGTTCAGTTTAATAGTTTTATATTACTAAATTTGGGATGTTACATCATTGACATAAATAAATTAATTCTACTATAATATAACAACTTCAATATTGGTAGGATAGTAGCCAAAATATTATTATGAGTAAGGCAACACAAAGTCGTCTCCCAATAAACACAAAAATATTTTTTAACAAATTAGATCTTATAAAAACAATACAAATGTAGATTATTTACCTTAACATAAAAAGTGAACTTTCTATAACGAATCCATAACTGACATCAAATGTAGATTTTCTATGGCTAGTCAGAATTGGTATAAAAAATGGAAACTTTTTATGTTGGTTGTATCTATTATGGGTCCCTAATTGACATAAAAAGCATTTTCTAAATGGCATAGAAAACTTAGTGCGCTAATGTTTGTATGAAGTATTTCCAAGGAGAAAATGTTTACATATGTGGTTTTAGGTAGTGTATTGAATAATGACTCCTTAAATAAATTATTCATACTCTAATAGATGTTCTAACTCATATAAAGAAATATTATATAGGAGTGAGAGTCGATGGAGGTTCGTATAATAGAATTTGGTATGAAAGAAAACCATTCTCACATACTATAGTCAATTTACTTTGTCATGTGATGAGAACATAGTTCCTGATACATTGAGAGCAAAGTAGAGCATGGGTGGTAGCCAAAATCCACTAAGTGTTCATATAACAGGTGCACTATCTTTGATCTTCAATTCAACACACAAGTCTTCCGAAAATAGTTTTTAGTGTATGATAAATTGTAGTTATATAATTTGCATGTATTAGTAAAGTTACGTGATTACTATATCTATTGTTAAAATCTTTGTTAATATATTATTTTACCTTGATTTTGTTGTTGTTGTTTGTTTTATTTTATAATCGTGGGTTATAAGAGAGCAAAGGATCTGTAGATAAAAGTTCTCAACATTGAGTAGCTAAGAATATCATACAAATGCATATAAAAAAGTAGTATATGTATATAATTGTTTAGAATTATATTCTCTATATGTTTTGTATCTATATATATTGTTTCGAAAAACTTTAACTGATGGAGGAATGTAAAACTAAATTTATACATTTATTTTATTTGTATGTACATGATTGAATTGTTTGATAATGATAATATAACTACTATATTTTGAGTTGTTGTAGAAAGTATTTATTAAAAGACTACTAGGTTATATGAATATCCATGAAGTATAAAATTGAAGAAATTCTTTTCGTGCTAAACTAAATCTACAAGATGGTAAGTGGTTTGACAACTTTTCTTAAATTTACATGTACAAATTATATATTTGAGAAATATATTATTAACCTGAGTAAATTTCTTAGAGAATTACAATTTTATTTATATAATGAATGATCTGAAGACCAATTTTGACCACATGTATTAATTTTTTAACATAAAAAAATTTAATTAATGGGGAGAATTTTATTAATTTGTCCGTAAATATAGAGATGATTAAGCCAATTTCAAATGAAGAATTGTAATATGGTAAATTTTTCATTAGAATATGTTCATCGAGAGTCATCCTGATCTCACCAACCAATAAATGAAATGTATTTGTCTCTATATGCTACTTCTCTACAAAGGCTAATAACAATCATTTATGTATAACATCTTTATTGAGAGGGTTACTCCCTCCACCATCACAAGTTGCTCCTTGTACCTTCACATTCCCATTTTGCCATGTAGTTAAAAGTTTTTTTTTCATGACGGTTGAACAACGATGTCCCACCTCCTCGTATTTGTATGGGAATCTCAAGTGGGTCCTTATATTTGCAACTGTCTCAATTGGGTCATAATATTTGTAAAATTGAGCCAATTTTTCCCTAACCGTTAAGTTGTCACAAATGGCGTTAGTTGGTGTTGATATGTTGCATAATTAATACGCTGATGTCAAAATATTTTATTACGTTAAATTTTTATTTAATTTAAGAGATTATGACATGGAAACCCTTGGTCGTTCTCTTCTTCTCCTTTGTTTTGATCTTCTATCTCGCGCAAGGAAAGTGGTTGCGATGGCGAGACCAAGCGACATTCGGCTCGCGGTGGTGTGTTGAGCGTTCTTCTTCTTTCCCCTAGTTTTTTGCGCTGTTTCGCGTTGCAAGGAGGAACTTCTTCCCTCTTCTCTTTCTGGTGTTGTTCTAGTTGCAGGGAGGAGGTAGCTAGGAAATAAGAAAGAGATTATTTTATGGGTACCGCGGGACTGAGAAAGGGTAAATTGGATTCCTTAAAATATTCTGGTGAGAAAAAAATTTAGGAGAAATAATTTACTAGAGGCTTAGGTTTCTTTTCTTTTAATTACTAAAAGTATTTCATTTGTCATAACTGTTCAAAAAAGGAAGTAATTTGTTGGTGAGTTCGCTTTAGGATGTAAAGTGTGACGGTGGGTCATCGATGAGGAAAGAAATAGCTTGAGTTTGAAAACCAACTCCTGCAACTCGCGGTTAAATCCCTGGGAGATTCAGTCCTGGAGCTGAGAGAGAAAGCGGTGGTGAACAAAACCTTCACCACCGCCCAACACGCCAACTTTCGAATGTGAGAGTTTTTGTATCTCCTATCTCGAGCGCCAAAGATTTCCCCCCTTTCTCGAGGACCAGAGATTGCATCTTGTAAGTGAAAAACCTGTTTGCGTCCTGTGAGCTCGTGGAAGCAGTGCCATTGAGAGTCACCATAGACGCGAGAAGCTCGATGCAAGCTATTTTCCCCCTTTTTCGCTCGAACCCTAAGAGAGGGAAAAGTCCTAATTTGATTTTGCAAAGTTTGTGGAGGAGCTTGAGAGCCCTTTTGAGAGGCATTTGGGATGCAATTGAGAAGGTCGATGGAAGGCAATGGCTGGGATAATGCGAGGCGTGGTCATTTCGTTCACAGTTTGTGACAATCCAACTCTATTTGTTAATGAGCTGGTAAGCAATTGCATTCTTGATTAATATGAACTTATAAACCCTGTTGGCAGATTACTATTTTGTGAGTTGCGTGTTGGGTGGTGGTGAAGGTTGTCGTGGAGCTAAAACCTTGAGTGGACAGGTGAGTTGCATCATTTTGTTCACAATGATAAAGAGAGGAGCTGTGGTGAACAAAATAGGAACGATTTAGGTTCGCCATTTTGGGGTTTTTACGATGCTTGTTGGGAAAGAGAAATTGATAATGGCTGATGAGGTTAATGGAGGATGAGATGCTCTCTGGGTGAGGATGAATGAAGTTTCTAGGGTGTTTTTTTATGCTGCTTGCATAAGTTTTCTATTTTTTTTTAATTTATTAAATTCCATGTCATAATTTAATTATTTCCACGTAATAAAATATTCACCTCAGCATATTCACTGTCATCACATTTTAACACCGTTTATGACAACTTAACGGTTAGGATAAAATTGGCTCAATTTTACAAATATTATGACCCAATTGAGACAATTACAATTATGAGGACCCACTTGAGATTCTCATACAAATATGAGGATCATCCGAGAGTTTTTATTTTTTAGCAATTTTTTATACTTAAAAATATTATAAAAGTTATTAAATTACGTAAAAGCTACACAAATAAATATTTACAATGTTCATAAATTAAAATCTACAAAAAAAAATTAATAAACTAAAAAAAAATACAATAAAAGAGTTGAAACCTGAAGGCTTGAGCGAATGTAGGAAATCCATTCAGCCTTCAACGTATTTTGACATTTGTGGACGAATCTCAAGATCCGTTGAAGGCTGAACGAATTTCCTACATCTGTTCAAGCCTTCAAGTTTCTCTTCTTCTTCCTCCTACACAACACACCACATACATCCATTTACATAACACATATACAAAAAGAACAAAAAGAATAAAGCTTTAACCACAAAAATGTGTCAGAGAAGAATAAATAAAGAGAAAGAGGGAAGGGGTAGGGACTCTGTGTGCGAAGAAGAGAGGAAGAGAAAAAGTGGGGAGGTGGGGGCTCTCTATGTGAAGAAGAGAGGAAGAGAGAAAGTGAGGGGATGTGGTTTGTGTATAATTAGAGAAAGAGAAAAGTGAGGAGAAGGGGACTACAAAATTAGGATTTTGAAAAAAGTAAATAAAGTTAAATAATAAAAGTTAAAAATTTTTAACCTAAGATATTTTTGGAATAAGAAAAAGTCTACAAAAGTGTAAGGAGTAGTTGGGGTGATGGAGGGAGTGACTCTCCTTTGTTGATGGGATGCAGTGGAGCTGTGCAAAGGGAGCAAGAAAGAGAGTGGAGTAGGGTTTTTAATTTGACTAAAGGTGAAAAGGGAATTTTAGAATATAAGGGTATTTAGGAAGAAAAATTGGGGGTGTAAGAAGAAATGTCCTTGTTGGTTTAGTGGAGCACTGGCCATTGAAGTCCAGACCCATTAGAAAATTCTCGAATCCCTGTCTCTTTTTATTTCATTACTTTTCTTTTAGTCCCTCTAAAGTCTCAACGCAGAGTATGTTCTGACAGCAATCTTCTTCTTCCTGTTCTTCTAATCTTGTTTGCATCTTTTGATTCCTAAAGCTTCTTCGAAATTCGCCTTTCTCTTCTTTGCGATTTTATATTTCAGATTATTGGTAATTTGTTTCACAAGTTCTTGTGTTTCAGCCATGGTGGAGAATAATCTCTTCGAGGATATTTTCAGAGTAGAAAAACTAAACCCCGATGATAAAAAATTATTCGATAAAGGTATTATTATTATTATTATTATTGTTATTTGCATCTGTATTACTTCTTCAATACTTCAATTCTCTTCATATGTTGTTTGTTTAGTTTAGCTTGCCATGCTTTGTTGTTGTACGTGTCTAGGGTTTTTCCCTTTGAGCTCTCTGTATTATTGGCTCTTGATTTCTTTATCATTTTTTTATTTTATTTTTGGAATCTCGTTTTTTTTTTTTTTTTTGTGAAATGGATATCAAATTTCGTGGAATTTGAAATGCATGACACTGTTAGTGCATGCGCTTTCAATCTATATCAAAGAACGAACGCATCAAAGCTTTGGGATGGGAGTGGCCAGTGAGACCATGAAAAATATAAAGAATATCCCAAATTTTCATTTTAGGTGTAAAATTTCTATCTAAAAATTCTTTACATTTGATGTCTAAAGAAGTGTTTTTTATGTATGATATTTTAAATTCACTTAAAGATTGAATTTCCTTTCTTAAAATTCCCCATCAAAACTCGTCATTAAAGTTTGTCTGTTGTTATTCGATTTCCATTTGTAGCGTGTCATTGGTCTTACTAGAGATGTTTTTGATCTACTTCTGTGTATTTAATTTCATTCTAATACTTCGATTTTGTGCATCTCAAGTTACTCGAATTGAAGCAAGGAGTGAAAAGTTTGACATGTTTATGCACCTTGATATCAATTCTGAGATATATCCATTAAAGGTTGGTCAGAAGTTCACCCTTGTGCTGGTTTCATCACTTAATCCTGATGGAACACCAGACACTGGCTATTATACACAGGTAAGAAATTTATTATGTACAATGAACCTTTCTTTCACTGTGAAGGATTGTTATTATGATTATCAAGTGAAACCATTGTTCAAAACATTAGTTACTGTTAGAATGTGCATTTAATGCCGTATGTCTGCACTCATTCTTTGTCAATTGTTATTACGTTTCCTGTGGCTGGGAGCTTCTGTCTTTCATCATGAACTTGTAAATCAAATCATAAATTGGGTTAATGGTGGTGAGCATAGACAAGATTGATGTGGAAGGCGTGGTTCTGTACTTTTAATGCAGGGATCTTGATGATTACACGATATCATTGCTTAATTTATTGTTGTAAGAAGCAAATTTTCTCTGTTCAATACACAGTTTGCTCTTTCTAAATTTTTATTTAGTGCCTTTTTATTGTGTATTGGAATATTCAGTATCTATAGTTGTATCGAACCACTCGGCAACTGTTATTAAAATAAGATTCAAGTATCTAGGACTGTCAAATACATCTATATATCAATGTTTTACCTGTATGTGATTCTGGTGTTTATGTGATGCAGCTCGATAAATATTACATATATATATATATATATATATATTTAGTAATACATTTGGCATATAACTCAGATCAGATAATTTAAATAGGATCAGAAGACACTATCTTTTCTTCTGTATCCTTAGACACTATCTTTTATAACTCGAGAGTGATACAATTCAAGAGTAGTTGATGGGTTTAAAGGGATCTGAATCCACCCTAAATAGGGCCATTCTTCTAACCACAATGAAAAGAAAATAAATGAAAAACTTCAATTGTTTTTAATCAATCCTTCTGACAATCCTCTGGCTTGAATTCCTATATAATTTAATCCTAATTAAAGATGTTTCTGTCCTGGAAAATCATAGTAACCAGGACACTGGTAACATTGCTGTGGAACATATGCCATCAAGTTTGTCAATCCTAGAGTCTACACAAACTCATGTAGCTTCTGTCATCAGAGTATTCCTAATACAAAAATATTTAAATAAAACCCATGAGTGCATCTAGCATTTAAACATAAAGTCGGGACCCATTACCAAATGTCAATTGATTCATAGAAAACAAACTGCCAATTTGAGAAGGCTAACAATAACGGGTGTTTCACTTTTTGTGAATGAGTTTTTCTCTGCCCAGAATCTTAAGCTCATTGCTAGTCTGTGTTGCTTTTAACAAACTTTGTGTCTATGCATATCCCAATTTAAAACTAATAGTTTCCGTTGTCTTTCGTAATTTGCTTTCTATTTTTATCTATTTGTTCTCTTATATTTTCTCTATTGGTTTTCAACTCAGTTAATTTAACTTATCTTACAGAATTCTGCTGTATATTTATTTTTTCCAGATCAATCGACAATCACTGGCCAACAATTTTGAATATGTCATGTATGGGAAGCTCTACAGGATAACAGAGGCTTCTGGGCGTGAAAAGGCGTATGTCTATTTCTAGTTTTGAGTTTCAAATGCATCACTTAATAATTTACTAAGTAACTAAATTCATTTTAGGAACAATGTGTTCGTCATTTGGATTTGAATTGTTTTTAATTGATTGTGAGCATGAAATGAATAAGTGAATAGCATATTTGTAGTTCATATAGTTCCGATTGATTCATTTTGTTTGTAAATGATCTTTGCATTGTATAGTTCTGTTGTGCCAATCAGTTATGAATTATCTTTTGATTGTGAGATAATGAGTTATCTGAAGTTACGAGATTACGTTTCGTAGTAGCAGCTCCCCTAGTCAGAGATGAATGCGATCATTTCATTAATACTTTAATGTTGTAGTGAATGTTACTCTTGTCATCCTTTTTAGTAATAATATTTTTTACGGGTTTTGAATTGTAGGGAGCTAAATATTTCATTTGGTGGGCTTCTGATGCTGCTGAAGGGAGATACCTCTCATTGCAACAAATTTGAGCTTGATCAGAGGTTGTATCTTCTTATAAGGAAAGTCTGAAAATTGTATTTAAAAAGAATGGAGGATGTGAATCCTTGTTGTGGCAAAAGCACAGCAGCTACTTCCAACTTAAAAAGAAACGAGCATCTCTACTATGAGTCTCAAATTTAGTATTTAGGTGTTATAACAAATTGTATTGGTTCATGTTGACGAGAGTTTTAAAATTAAGACTTGCGACTTGTATAAGACTTTAGATTTTAAAAATTAAAAAAAAATATGATTCTTATTAGACTTTAAAAATGTTTTAAAAGTAGTGTAACATTATGAGAGACTTGAAAGTAAAATAATATTTCATGTTAAAGTTTTATAGGATTTTTGTATCGGCGATGCTGTCACAAATATCATTATTTTTTCCTTCTTGGTGTTTTTGAGTTCCGGCTTTGGAGACACTCTTATTCCTTTGTTTATGCTTTTGTGTCATGGTTCCTATTGGCTTATAAAAGTTATTTCATTTGTGTTCTTATCGAGAATCTTATTATTTCAAGGTTCTTATTGGCTTATGAAGATTATTTTCTTTTTTATTTATCTATCACAACTCTTTTCAATTTATAAAAATCGTTTGTATTTCTTTTTTGCCTATGAAGACAGTTTCTTTCACGAGAACTTATGAAGACATTTATTAATTCAAGGTCATTTCATTGTGTTTATGTATTAATGCTCTTACAAACTTATCTAGACGCATTGTTATCGTGTTTTTCTAATTAGGTGTCAAATTTTATGACTCGTCACAGCCACCACATTCTTAACAAGTTTTTGTTTGCATAAATTCTAAATGCATGTTCATATTTTTTTTAAAAAAATAAGTTTAATGGGTTTTAAGGTTTGAATGTTCTAGATTTTATATATTTTAATAAAGAAGTGTGTCAAACTAAAATAATTTTATTGAAGATTTTATATTGTCTAAAAATAAAGTTAAATTATATTATTTCATGAAGTGCAAAAACTCATTATATTCGTGAAGTTGAATTGAGTTATTGTATAATTTTCTAGTAGGTTCTTAACAAATAAGACGAAAGAATAGTCATAATAAACCATTATTTTGTTCTATATTTTTTTAAAATTTTATCGAGTTTTGCAAAATTTAAACCCATTGTGTTTACTTTGAACTTTCAACAACATTTCATGCTAAATGTGAGTTCAAAAAATTAATGAGTTTTATGTCAAAGTATATTAGTGTTTAATTTCCTTTTTAACATTTTTAAAATAAGCCATTTTTCGTTTACAAATTCAAAATAAAATAAAATTAATATTAAGTTCAAAAGGCAAAAATAAAACTATTTTGAAATAAAACGTAAGATTACAAAATTATAAAATTACGAGAATATGAGATTTTGAGATTATAAAATTCTAAATTCAATGTTTAAGATTTCTGATTGGAGATTATGTCAATTCTTTCTTGATTGAATTCATTTCTCATGGTTGTCGTGTCTCTCTAATAAATATTTGTTTAGACTCATTAATTTGTGATATAAACAAATGTGTCACATGATAAATGACAAGAGATTTATACTTAAGAGAGAATGTTAGAAATCAAATGTCAGTCCAACTTTGACATTAACTAATATGAGAAAATTAAACAATATATAAATTTATTATCTTAAGGTTTTATATTGAATATCCTGCCAATTCCTTATATATTGAACTTATATTTAACTATTGTTATGTTTATTTTAAATAAAAATAATAATAACAAAAAGAGCTTTTGAATTTACATCATCTCACTCTCGTCTAACTAGATAATGAAATTTATGATGGACTACAATGTTACTAAATTGTAAAAAGATTGATGAATGAAAAATAATAAATGTTAACAATATATTTTTCAAATATAAAATTTCAATTGCTAAGCATACATCTAAAATTAAAGTATAATTAAGAAAAACAATTAATGAACAAGTAAATTTTAAAATTATATATATGCTTGAAGCTTCAATTTAACTTGTGTATACAATTTTTTGAAATTGTAAATCTCAAATAACACTCTAAATTTAATATTGTTATACATGTATTCCTATTAAGTTCAATAATATATCATCACATAAAAGTCGAGGTCTAATGCAATCTAAATCTTTTTTTTAACATTTGATCCTCTAAAGTGTTTTTTAAATATAAAACTGTGACGGACAAAACTCCAAAATAGACAATATCTTAGATATGTAGTAATTGATCCTAAAAATGTTATTCGATGGATTTAAGATCAAAATATTGACGTTCATTGTGAAACTGATAATAAATAATCCCACATTAAGATCTAAATTAATTTAAATAATAATATAATTTAAAGAATAATATAGTATTGAATACTCTTTTACTGTTTTTTTTTTCATTACTCATTTTGTTCTACCAAATACAACCAACGAAAAAAAAATTAAGACAGTAAGTTGGGTATAATTTTGTCAAACCCTTCACAACTAATTTAAAAAAAAAATTAAGACAGATTCCTCATTTAACTAACGTATGCAGAGTTATTAACGGAAATTTCAATTTTAGGTTATGAGCACATCCCCTAGCATTGAACATCAACATTCTCAATATAAAAACCCTAAATTTGTATCATACATTCTTTGCAACTTCTCATGTAACCCTTTCCATGCATCTGCAACCCCTCTTCACATCTTACCCAAAATCATAAAAGAAAAAACAAAGTAATAATATTTTTGTATTATTGTTATCATGGGACTTGAGATAGTGCCAATCAATTCAACTTTTGAAGACTATCAAACCCTATACGAAGAGTGGTTCAATTATGTAGATGCAGGTTTTTATTTTCAATCTTCATTGTCTTTTATCATAATTTCTATGTCTTATGCAAAATAAATAAATCTATTTGTATGTATTTATCGTATATAATGAGATTATTATTCTGCATTTTGGTGTCTTCAGATGGAGATGGTCGCTTTACAGGAAAAGAAGCCATCAAGTTTTTGGCCATGTCAAACTTGTCACGACAAGAATTAAAACAGGTTTTCTATTTTATACATTTATTTTATGCATTGGAATAATAACAAGTATATATATATATATATATATATATATATATATATATATATATATATATATATATATATATATATATATATATATATATATATATATATATATATATATATATATATATATATATACATGTACATGTATACACATGTACATGTATATGTATATATATACATGTATATGTATATATATATATATATATATTTATATATAACAAGGATAATGTATTTTTCGATTGAAGTTGAGACATTAACATTTTTAAAATGATGAATGATGATTGTATTAATTTTGAATGTGTTATATTTCTAAATTCTTTAATATTTTATAATCATATTTAAAATTTTACTTTTGTAATATATAGTATTTATTACCAATGTACGAAAAAAAAATATCTATTTTTTTTATCAACAAAAATATATATTAATATTAGAGCACTTGGATGCTCTAACCCTAAGTTATATGCAAGAATATCCCATAAAGTACTGTAGGAAATATATACAAGTTTTATTCTTTTGAAAAATTTCAAATTTATCTAGGTAAAAGTTTACTTAACATACCCATTTTTCCCATATTGTTAAAAATCAAATATGAGTTATTTATTTAAGTTACATTATTTGATATTTTTTACATCATTCTTTTAATATTTTTTTCTTCCTTATAACTAATTATTTTTCTTTTTTTCTCTTATTAAAATAAGGTATGGGCCATTGCAGATTCAAGACGAGAAGGATATCTAGGTTTCAAAGAGTTTGTCACTGCTATGCAGGTAGAAAAATAATTCTTTTCTTGTGAAAGTTTTTTTTTTTTTTTTTAAGTTTAATTTCTTACCAATTTTTAAAACCTAACCCATTTGAATTGCAGCTTGTTTCTTTAGGACAATGTGGATACTCAATAACACATGATCTATTAACTAGTGATGGTAATTTCTGTTTGCTTTTATGTTGTTTGGTTTATTTAGTTTTGTTGTCTGCGTTAATTAAAATTTTGTAATTTATTTTTATATCACTCATTAAATTTATATTATAGAAGTTAGTATATAACATATGGTTGACTTTTATTTCAGCTATGAAATATGTAAAACCACCCACAATGGAAGGTTTAGATGCATTAATTGCAGTGAGTATTTTTTATTTTTTTTGTATTGATTGTATACATTGATCATTTAGTGAGATGACTTATCATTAAATGTTTTTTATTTTATGCAGAAGAAAAAACGCAAACATAAAGATAAAGAATTAAATGGTAATGTATAGTAGTTTAATTAACAAGTGCACTAATTAATATTACTTTGTTTTTCTTTTTCTTTATTTATTTATTTATTTTTATCGATTTCACTCACTTATAGTCATGCAGTTAGTCCTCAACCATCACCCGCAAGTAGTTGGTTTTCTGGAAAGTCGAAAAAAGAGGTAAGAATTTGTTACTTTAATTGCTTAATATTGTTCATCTTTTACTGGCTTAACTCTATAATATTTGTTTAGATATGTTTGACTAGAAATAAATCAAGTGATTTTATTTATCTAAGAATTTAAGACGATTATTAGAAATGTTAGTTAATTATTTAATGGCTCTACATTTGAAATATTAGTCAATAATGATTCTATTTCTTTATTCTTTTAATGTATCTTCTAATGTTTTTATAAGTGTGTGTAGAAAGAGAAATTAAGTGAGAATTACTTGTTAAACTTTTAATTTTCTTATAGTATTTTTAATTTTGAGCATATGTTCTTAGGTATCTGTGGCTTCAGTGACATCAGTTATAGATGGTTTGAAGAAACTTTATCTTCAAAAGTTGAAGCCTTTAGAAGTTGCATACCAATACAACGATTTTGTCTCTCCTTTTTTGGTTAGTGTGTTATTTGTTTTATTTAATAAGAAATATAACTAGTTAGTTTAGACTCAATATCATTGTTTACTTAATCATGTAACACCATTTATATATGAGAAAGGTATGCAATTAATATTTTTTTTTATCGATCATTATTTTTATGCATTACAGGCAAATAGCGACTTTGATGCGAAACCTATGATTCTACTTTTGGGTCAATATTCTACTGGAAAAACAACATTCATTAAACATATGCTTAGAACTACTTATCCAGGCAAGTGATTCTTCAACTTCTAATTCTATATCTATAATATACATTTCA